AAAGGGTCAAACACAAACATGAAAAAATTACTGAATTTCAGTGTTATAAACAAGTGACTTTCTTTTTTTCAACAGGAGACAGCAGAGATCCAACAGGCTGGGAAGTTACCCCAATAAATCCTCCATAGCATCTCTGCAGAGATTCTGAACATGGAAATATCACTTAAGGGGAAAAAAGATGAATCTTTTAAAAAAAGAAAAAAAAAAAAAAGAAGAAAGAAAAAAGAAAAAAGCCATGCAACAGAGACAACTTCTACAGTTTTGCACAAGAGGAATCATCAAAGAGCCAAATGAAACCTTAGATCTGCACAAAACACCAGAGCAATCAATCCTGAAGTTTACAGGTAACCACAGAACAAGTGAGAGCCGCTCTTGGAGACCAAGTGATGTTAATGATGGAATAGTTGTAATAATTTTATAGCACATCCTCAATATCTGAGTCCTCACAACATAAAATATTGATCCTCTCCAGATCCCAAGGAGCAAACTGAATGCTGCAATGCTTTGGAACACAATTTCTCACCTACCTCAAAGTAAACATCCCCTCAACCCAACCTCCAAGACTACTCTCTGTACTCCCTCCATGCCAGAACAGCAGGACAAGGAGTCAAGCCAAGAATCTCCAGCATCCAAATTCAGGGCTATCCTGAAACTACACAAACAGTCAAGCACTCCAGCACCTCAAGTGTTTTATGGACCTGATCACTCTGGGAGCAGTTCTGCAGACAGTGATAACAGAGAGAAAAACAACAGTGTGAGTCCACATTTATCTCCTATGCTTCAGTAAACTGGGGGGGGTTGTTTTGGGTTGGTCCTTGGGGGTTTTTTATTCTTCTGGTTTACTAAAGAGAAAACATAAGGAGAATAATAGCCTGCAAGCTGGTGTACTAGAATAACATCTAGAAGGCTCTAATCATCAGGGTGAACTGATTTTACAAGATTTCAGAGCTGACTGGGAAAAAAAAATGGGCTGAAGAGGTAGTAATTGAAAAAAGTGAAGCAGAATGCTGGGAAGAAAACAAACTTTGTTCCCAGAAACCAAGAACTGGGAATAACCGAGGCCTACCAAGGTAACCTAAAACCACAGCTGCCACTACATAATAAAACCTATTTTTCCATGTTGTAATCTTTGTTTCTTACTTTTATAAAACCCAAGCCAAACAAGAAGAACAAACCAAACCTAAACCAAAATCATCTACAGGGTTTTAAGTCGACACACATCAAGATGAGCTGCAGTCCCAAAGGGAAGCCTCGTAGCAACGGGGCTGAGCTGGGCTCTCTGGGACACCCCACGGCCAGGACTGGGGGACACTGACTCAGGACAGGCCTGGGAACCACACTGGCACTTGCAGCTAGGAAGAGGCACCCCAGGCCAGCCCTGCACCCAGCAAACACTCAGCACTGAGCACCACATCCCCAACACCTGCAGTGAAGGCTCCACAGGGATGGCGTGGATCTCCAGGCAGCTCAAACCATGCCATGGCTCTCGTGGGACACAGCAACCTGCACAACTCCTGTGAGACCTGAGACAGCCAAACCCACCTGTGAGGTTCCATTTCTGTGTTTCCTGGCTCACTTTGGGGCTGAGATTATCTGGGTATCCGTGCAGTGCCTAACAAAACAGAGCTGTCCTGATCAGGGCCTCTGGACAGCACAGAAATGTAAATACTACTCAAGAACAAGTGAAACTCAATATAAACCCTCCAGGACTGACAAGAGCTGGCATCCAAAGAAACCAAGGAATGCAAAGTGTATCAGGGTTCATTTTGGGATACAGAATGCTGTAGATTAACACAAAAGCACAGAATGTCCTCAATGCACTTTTGCTGTAAAATTTGTGCACATTTAAATGAGCCCCTATAATTAATGCTGTGAGAATCTGTTCTTAAGCCTTTTGCAAATAAGTGGCCTTATCTTAAAAAGCAGCCCATTGTGTCTTCCTTTTTTTTTCTTCTATTAAAGGCTACTAAAAATGTTTATATTGTGGAAGATTAATTAAAGAAACATCAGACTCTTTATAGACTTTACTCCTATTAAACCCTGCCTGGGATAATGTAAATGATGCTAAGAAACCTACAGTGAGAAATTAAGACTGTTTGCTGTGATTGAACAGATTGTCTTATAGTGCAAAAACTCCTCTAAAGTCTGGACATTTCATAGGGGAATTTACACTTTATCAAGTTCCTGGATCTAATCATAACTTGAAATTACTACTTCTCAGGAAATAACTTCAAGATCAGGGAATTTACTGGGTTGAACATGCAGATCAAATGCTGAAAATCAAGATGCTGCAAGAGAAGAAAAAGAAATATACACAAAAGAAATATATACAAAAACCCCAAGACTGCTGCTTTTGCTCACAGAATATTGCCTGCTTCTCATGCTTAAGCACAGCAATGTATGTTAAATGCCTACATGCATACTCACGCATTCTGGCCAAAATAATAATCTTACCAATCCACAGGTGTCCAGTTCAGCAGCTCAGGCAGCCCCTGAGTGCCAGAGCCAGGACCACTGAGTGCCTGTGACAAAATCAGGAGCTGGAGTGTTCCCAGGACATAACCCTGGGCTCCCCAAAGGTCACTGCTGGACAGAACGCCCAGCTCTGCACAGTGAGGGGCTGTGGGTTAACCCTGGGGCAGTCTGCCGTGGGGCTAACACACCCCTAATGCAAATGTGTCTGTTTGGGGGCAGAGCTGCTCAGTTTCACCCTTCTGCCACCCCTCAGCTGGGAACTTCCTGGGCAGGAAAAGGGAGCTTCCCACGTGCTCCTTCCCAAACACCACTGAGGGCTGCTGTCACTCCCCTCTCCAAGTCACCTGCAATGCAACTGACACCAAATCCCAGTTTGTAAACATCACAGCAAATGATGACAAAGGCCCGTGTATGGCCGTGTAAAAATGTTTGGTTCAGCAAGAAAATTCCAAAAGGAAGGAGATGCTGCTCCCTGGGCCTCTCTGGAAACCCTGCTTGGGGAGCTCAGGTGCAGAGCTGATCCCAAATGCTCCGTGGGCAGCAAAGGAAGCTGCTGGCAGCCTGTGCCTCGCACATTTCGGCCATGACCTCATTCTTTACTACCACTTTTCACTTCTGTTGCAGGGTTTCAAAAACCAAAGCTTGACATCAGTTTTGCACTATGTACCTTTCATTATTACTTAAGGAACGCAAAGAACTCAACTGGAAGTTAGAAAAGAAACCATCCCTTCCTCACAACTCAGTCTCACCCAGTGAGAAGGGAGCACCATCACATGTCTTTGTATCCAAACACACACACCAAACAGTTCTGCTGATTTACAGTGGGCTTCTTTCTCTGAAGGGAAGGCCAAACCTAATGTCACTTAAGCAGCGTTTTTTGAAATTAACTACAGAGCAGCAGTAGTGCAGAATTTTCCTAATGAAGTTTGACTTTTAAAGACATATTTCCTTCTACTTAATAGCAGAGATATATCTTATATAATGCAGAACCATTAAATTATCCATACTCCAATTTTATATAAATATATATATCTACATTAAAAAAGAATTGTTAAAGTGATTGAAGACATTGCTTTATCTGTAGGGATATATCTATCTTCATCAATCCCAATTACCTTAAAACATCTGCAAAAATCAATTCATACTGGAATTTCAGAGATTCCTTGAAATATCAAATTTAATGTTACATTTTCCTATTTGATCATACCAATCCAAATCAAGTTTAAGCAATGATTACTTATCAATCCATCCAAAGCAAGTGAAGTTTTCTCTTCCAACAAGCAGCTGTCATCATATACAATTGATAATTTAGTCTTATTTTGAACCTACTGTTTAAATAACCATTTGGTCTGTAATATCGACATAATATCATTTAATCCAGCCTCTGAACTCTCTCAGAAGTTACTTTTACACCTACATTTTTACTTCTCAAATGAAACGCTGGCCATCACTGAACACCCTCTTTCCCCAGCAAGAAAGAGGCCAACATTGAACTCCTGTAGGATCCTAGGGAAGAACAAACAGCACATGGAAGTGGGCCTCAGAAGAGTGAAGACAACTCTACCCAAGCCCTGTCCTAGGCAGCATTCTGTGCTCCACTCTGCTGGAACAGGATTTGCAGAGTGCAACCAGGAAAAATGCCATGTTTAAGATCCGAGATAGTTAAACTTCCCTCTAACCGCAAACTTCAGCTGGCAAGTTGTTTCAATTCCTCAGCATCCGTACAAATGGTGGTTTTTTTCGTCTTTGTTCGTGAGGCAGAGCTCCTGAGAAGCTGGGAAGGTACCTTGGCTGCCACGGAGCGCAGGTTCCAAGGGATACACGAGGCCTACAGGGAATTTCGTGCCCCAAACGCTCCCGATTCCAGCGGCAGCGGGGGGAACACCTGCTCTATCACCCCTCCGACCCTGCCGGTAACAGTCGGAAAGAGGAAACTTCGGGAGGGAGCCAGAGACCACCCCCGAAGCCAAACACCCGGCAGCAGCAGCTTCCCAACCTCGCCAAGCCGAGCCAGGCTCCTCCAGGCGCCGCTTCCCTCACAGCTTCGGGAGAATCGGTGCCCGAAAAGCACCTGCACCGCGCACCGAGGCCGGGCACAGCGAGGGGGAGGCAGGAGCACTCCGAGCCGCCTTGGCTGCTGCTGCTGCCGGTTCAAAGGGACCCAGCCCAGGCCCGGCTGCCCCGGAGCGGCTCCCGGCAGCTCCTCAGCCCGGCCAGGCCCCGCCGCGGCTGCCGGGGATGTGGATCCCGAGGGAAAGGGGGGATGGAGCAGGGACACGGCGGCGGCAGGCCCGCCCCAGGCCGCGGGGAGCGGGGAAGGAAGGAAGGGGGAAGGAAGCGCCGAGCAGGGCATGGAGGGAGCTCCACCATGGCAGCGGAGAGAGGGAACCCCGCGGCCGGGAGGCCCGAGGCGGGCGGGGAGAGGCGAGCAAGGAGGCGAAGCGGGGCTGTAACCCGGTGCAGAGGAGGGTCCGCGGGGGTCCCGGCCCGGGGGGAGGGAAGCGGGGGAGGGCGGCCGCACTTACTCTCATTTAACACCTCCAGCAGCTCGGCGCAGCTCTCACACATTGTTCATTAACAGCAGCAGCAGCCGCCGCCGCCTCCTCCCGACCATTGATTGATCCGCTCGGTGCTGCTGATTGATGATTGATGGGGGCCGGGGCGGGGGTCACCGGGGGGGAGGGGAGGGAGGGGGCGGGAAGGAATGGGAAGAGAAGGGGAGGGGGGGAGGGGGGGGGGGAGAGGCAGGGGCCGGTCTGGGATCCGGGGCGGCTGATCAATGCAAATGAGCCTGTGGCGGCGGCGGCGGCAGCGGCGGGGAGGAGGAGGAGGAGGAGGAGGAGAAGCCGAGTCACTCACTGGCTCCCAGGGACTCCACGCGCCGCCATTTTGCTGAGGGGGAAGGAGGAGGAGGAGGCGACGGGAGGGAAGGGGGGGGACAGGGCGCTCGGGCGCCGCTCGGCAGTTTCCGACCAGGCAGGAGGAGGCGAAGGTGGCCGAGTCCCTCCTCCTCCCTTTTCCCTCTCGCCCCGCCTTCCCACCGCGGTTCCGAGCGGCGGGATGGCGAGCGGGGAGGAGGAGGCAAGGGGGCGGGAGGGTAAAATGGCGGCGGTGGCGGTTGGGCGCGCGCCCGGGGAAGGGCGGGAAGCGCCTCTCCCTGCCCTCTCCCTGCCCTCTTCCCGCCTCCCACCGCCGGGAATCTCCGCCAGGAACGCGCGCACGCCTCGGCTCTAACAGCGCCGGGGGAGCGGCTTCTCCTGCCCGCCCCTTCCCTCGGTGCCTGGAGCCGCGCTCGCCGGGCTGCCTCGGGGACCTCCCGCCTGAAGAGAGCGCTTAGCACGCTAAGCCGAGCTCCGTGGCGAGGAAGCTCCCAGCTTCCAGGCGCGTTTCCAGGTCTTTGGGGTGGTTTCTTGGCGTTTTCCGCCGTCGGGGCGCGGGACGGAAGAGCCGCCGCCATCTCCTTCCCGCCCAGCGCGGCTGAGGGGAGCGGGGGCACCTGTGGCCGCCGACCCGGACCCCGGGAATGGGCGTTTGGAGGGCTACGGTAGCGTTTTCTACTAATAACTAATTTATTTTTACCTCATAGTTTTCTGCCCTAGTTTGTTGGGGGGAGGGGGTTTGGTTGTTTTGGGTTTTTTTGGTTTTTTTTTTTTGCTTCCCACCCCCCCCCTTCTTGCACCGTGATTTATTCTGTACAATCAGAAATGGCATCTGTGACTGGCTGGAAATAGCCTTTTCTAAATAAAAGACACGGTGAAAATGAACGAAAAACTTTAATTGAGGATACGTAATTTATGCTGTTACAACTACCAGTTAGTTCAGTCTGCCTTGGGTACGTTTTGAACGAGGTTTCAAACCCGTGGATGCCAAAATTTCAGGCAAGCATCTATTTTCCATTAAAAAAAAAAGCCCAACCCTTTTTTTTTTTTTTTTTTTTTTGCCATCTCTGAATGCTGCTCCCTCTCCCAGGTACATGTAAGTGGAATAGGGATCACATGATGGATCTCGGCTGGTGTTTCTCCCCTCAGCAGGCACTTCCCGAGTAGGAAGCGCTGTTTTTATTTCTGCAGTACCACCCAGCGGCCAGTCCGTGTTACTCTGAGTGCTGCGAGCGTACCGACCTGTACACGGGATTAAAAACCCAAATCTATTAATAGCCGCAATGCAGATGCCATATAGTTTAGCAGAAAGTCAAATAGAATCACCAAATGAGGGGGAAAAACAAAAAAAAAAAAGTCGTTTTGAATTCCTCAGTGGCTGTCTCGTATTTCTTCCACTTGAACTAAATCTGCTGGCATGGTGGAGATGCAGTTCTGGGCTTTTTTAATTCCATGTGCATATTTATCCAGGCTGATAACAGCGTGGTGGTTGTGTGTGTAACCTCCCACTGCAGGCCACAGAATGCTCAGCTCCAAACAATCCTCGAGGCGTCACTGTGTTAAACTAAGATTAAAAATCCCACTGCTGTTCAAAAGTAAGAGACAATTTACTGGCAACAACTACAGTGTAAGTCAGGAATATACTAAAATGATGTTTCACCCAGAATTCATGTCACTGCTTGGTTTTGAAATACTTTCCATGGTGAGCTTATCAACAAAGATAGCTATTCCTAAATATTCCCTGCTGAAATTTCCTTTTACTATTTTAAACTAATAAAGAAAATTAACTTGAGAGTCTACAGGAGACACAGATTCCTTGTCTGTCACTTTAATTCACATAACATGTTAGTGCAGATGTATTTCAAATGGGAATAACAAGGGGCAGTAATGCAAGAGAGAGGTTGAAGACTGTGAGTAAAAACCTAAAAACTTCCCTGAAACTTTTTACTAATCTTTCTGCTTATATTTAATTTCTGGATGTTTTAATTCCTGACAGTGTCTTTTCTAAATTATGTATTTTCTGTTGATAGAAATCTGACCAGCACGAGCTAGTTAGCTATTAATCTAACTGGTTACATCACTAAACCTCCATAATAATAACAACTATTTAATTGCTAACTGGTTTAGTTATTAAAATGACACAGATGTACTGGACCCTGTCAAGCCTTTTTTGGTTGCTTCATCTCTTCCAGCTAGCCTGAGAATGCATAATGGAAGAATAAAAGGAGTCCAGAACATTGCAGTTGTGTTCTGCTCCTGCCTGAATTAATGTAGTGACACCTTTCTCTTCTACAGCACCGATTTCAAAGCCTGAGGTCCATCAAAATGTAGACCACAGGATTTATGAGTGATTTTTCACTTGATGTTGTGCTGCCTTACCTTCTGTGTGTCCAAGAGGCTTTCAGTTTCTGTAGAACACCTCACTCCACAGTCTGCATCATCCCGTTTGAATTTGCACTTTTCTCTCTGCTCTTCCTTCCTCAAGCAGGCCCTGCAGTACCTTTTCCAGCAGACTCAAAGTGCCAGAACATCTTCAGAGATGGTTTTCCTGAGCAATCAGCTGTCTGACCTGAGGGCAGCCCCTCACAAACACCAGAGTCACAGAGGGGACCTTCTGGAGCCCGCTGTCACGTGCCAGGCTCAAGGAGTACAGCACAAGAGCATGGCTGACCTTGAGTCACTCCTGCTTTTGGGTAGAACACAATATTGAAAGCCTGATTCCTTTTACTGTGCTGGTTTCCTTTTATTTATTTATTTTTTTTTAACTAGAGACTAAATTGAATTCTTTTAAATGAAATTAATTGTTCGCTTCCAAGCTGAAGACAAGACCTGTCAGTGGCCTGGTTACAGAGATCATCAGCCTCCTGCTCTTGCATGCTTTGTTTTTCCTGTTAACCTTTATTCTCTCTCAGTGCCATCCCAGCAAGGCTGTTTTATCCCCAGGAGGCCTTTTCCCTTCCCCTGGCTGCAGTGCTCCTCATCTGGGAATATTTGCTCTGGTAAAGTGCCAGCACAGCTCTTCTGGAGGAGTAACTTAGACAAATGCAAGACTTGGGCAAAACTAAAATCCTTAATCCAAGAGCAAGAACATGAATTTTCAGAATTCATGCCCCAACACTGAGCTAGCAGTTTAACTGGACTCCAGTTAAATCTCTGACCCCGTGTCTGAAATGCTGCTGGAAACCACTGGAAGCCATCAGCAACAGAGTCAGTATCAAGTTCACCCACATTTAACTTTCAGCACTTGACTTCCACTGCTCTTTCAGCACTCTGACCTTTTTAACAGGGCCCATGTCTAACTAGGCTTTGGTGTCACAGCACCCTGAGAAGACAAATCCAGATTGATTTACCCCAGGTAATACAGAATACTCAAAATTTGGCCACAGGTATCATGTAAGTACAGACAAGGCATTGCTGAGCATGAGGCTGCCACCAGAAACTGAACCACTCCCAAAGTGTTCCAGGCAGCTCCTGTTGTACTTTTGGGCCTCTTTTGGAGTTTTTAGTGGTGACACACACTTGCAGTGTTCCTTTGGAGAGCTTTTCCTATCTGGTTAGCAATGTCCCTGTTAAAATAAGCAGCAGTGGGGTAGGAAGGGGGCTGGAGCCTGCTCCCAACACAGGAGGGAAAATTTTACCTCCCCTCCCCACTCCAGGTGTTAGATTGGATCATTGCTGATAATGTTTGCTGAAATCACAAGATCCACAAGAGACTGCAGACTTCAAGGCTCAGGAGAAGCTGAGACTATTGAAAAGGATTTAAGATTTCATGGGTGTTCACAACCAAAAAACAGGCACCCCACATTGATCTGAGACTGGGAAGAGGTTACCCAAGGAAAAGTGCTGGGTGACTTATTTACAAGGAGTAAATAAAAATGAAAATCTGAGTGTTTTGTTTTCTTCCAAACTCTTAACCTCCAAAATACTCCTTCCTCCTCAATCCCATCTTTCCTTGTACTTAAAACACAAAGAAAAGCTCACAGGTTTGTAGGTGTAAAATCTGTGACTTTTAGGTACTTGAGGTGCACTGTACATGGGATAATGACCCCAAAAATTATTCCCTCAATGGGAATGGCCGAGCCTTTTCCCAAGGAACCTGCTGACAGGGACAGCCTTGGACAGTGAGGGGAGGATGTCCTGAAGCTGAAAGCCTAAAAATGAATTCAAGGATGGAGGTGCATTCCTGATGGGCAGGTGGACAGGATGATTCTTTTTTTAAAGAGCTGTCTCCATCTAGCAAGGGGGAGAAGGAAGTTTATCCACACCTTCCAGCACCCCTGGAGTCTGGGGTCAGTAATTATCATTTAGCCAGTGATAAATGGACTCTGGGACAGGGTGGTCCCTCACCACAGCACCAAGGCAAATTCCTCACCTCAGGCAATTTGATGCATCATTTTCAGCATCTTTTCTTCTTTTTTTTCCCCTTTAAGCTGAAGTTTTATTGCCTTTTTAGTGCTAGAAACTATCAGCAATAACTCTTAGAGCTTCCTAGAGAGATGAGCATTTCTAAAGTCTTTTTTTTTTGCATAAATATTAGCTTTATTGGAAAATAGTTCACTTAAACCAATCAGATTAACACACACCAAATTATTCTAGTTTAAAAAAACCAAAACCAACTAACCTAAAATGCTTTGGAAGATAATCTGCTTCAGTTACAGTAGCAAACACATCATGGCAGCCTGAAACAAAGTACTTGGGGTGTCTTCATCAGCTGACAATCAATCCATGTAAACACAGAAAACACCCCGAAATATTT